GTAAGGTGAGAAAGGAGGACAAAGCTTTACCAGCACCACTGAGCTGCATGTTCAATGTGCACAATTTTAAAGGGATGATATCAAATGAGCCAGGAGGAAGACCAACATCAAGTAATCTATCACTGCTATTAATGTACTGACTGTGCTCTCAGGTGGTGTGAATGCAAGTACAGCATCCAGAGTTCTTGGGATCATTGCAGGTGCTTGTCCTACCAGAAAATATTCTGCTGCCTACAGCAGGAGCACCTACTTACAAAGCAGAAGTTACCATGTTGATCAAGGGCTTACATATGCTACAAGAACAAGAAGAAAGAATAATTCTCAGCACTGTTGTAGTTTCCTCAGTGCAGGATCTGTATAGCAATAGCAGCACTGTTCCTCACTGCCTACAGTGCACTTACCAATTGTCCATTCTTCAGGCACCAAAGGACAAGACAAGAGGGAGAAAACATGCTGACTTTGAAAGACAATGTCTTAGATCAGCCTGGAAAGGAGTTCTTTGCATGTTTTCAGAAGCCATTGACAGAACTTGTGCAAAGGTGCAGCACGTGCTTTGTGGTCACAAAAATCAGGTCAGACACAACTTCTTTGAAGGCAATGCTCCAGAAAAATCTTCTTAGAATTGACAGCAGCACCTTTCCATTGCTTATCAGTACACTTAATCACAATTTCCAGATGCCTCGTGTTTATCTAACACCTTCTCAGACTGAAGAAAAAGAATGGTGTTTTGCAAGCTGATACCTATTAACACCCTGGTGTTGGGAAGTCATGCCATTTCTTTGATCAAACCTGTGGAACTTTAACAGTTTCATACATTAACAAAGCTGAAAGCAGAACTCAAAGCTAACTCATTGACAGCTGAAACTTTTCACTTCGTTAATCCAGACTGATCAGCTAGGATTTGCTTAACGTGCCTTTTAATGGTCAAAATGACAAGAGAGAATCCTGTTTTCTGTGAGGCACAGGACAAACTGAAGAGGTACTGGCTGCAAAAGGAGGACAAACAGATTCCCTTTTGCTTGAATTTTTTTTACTGCTTCCTCTCTCAGTTTCTACATTCCCATTTAGCACTCACCACTGTCTATGCAGCTTGTTCTCTAGAGACTGAATTGTGCAACTACTCAGTCACTTTGCTACATCAGTACTGAACGTGAATAGCTACATCTAGCACAAGCAATTTGATCAGTGAGCAAAGGTCTCCTTGTTGATCTGAAGTCAGATTTGCTACATCAGTGAGTCAATAAGCCGACTGCAGTTCCAAACCCACTTACAAGAGGATGTGTAGTAACACTCTGCTTTGGCAATGCAGGTCTTTCCAAATTTCACAGCAACAAATGCCACCCACACAGTAAGAGGCACTCGGATTTGACAGGTTATTCTGATGGACTATCTACCTACAGAGTACAATATAAGCCAAGGCTGTTTTCCTATGACTCCAAAGCTAAATTAACAATTCCAGGCATTGTGGTACAGAATAGGATCGTTTACTTGAGAGCAATGCCTGCAAGCAAAGTTTTCTATATACAAAGCTTTTGTATTTCTTCAGGTAACTCTTGAGGAAGAGTTTGGAAGGACCTCCTCAGTGGGCAAGGAGCAGGGGCAGGCCTGTCTGACCCACACTGACTGGGCTTCAGAGTTAACCACTAAAGTTACTTACACTTTGCTGCTGTTAGACCATAAAAGAAACCTCAGTTAATCCAAAATTCCCAAAAATGCTCACTAACAATCACTGCCTGTACAAGTAAATCTGTGCCTACCATCTTTGGGGACGATCACAAGGTGAGAGAGATTACTGTAAAACATCCTGAACTTCCATATGTAGGAATCTGATTGCCAATCACAATAAATTCAACTTGATAACTGAATCAAGGGCTTCAATCTGTTTCATAAACTTCATTAAAGGCACGTTGCAGCACCAGAACCATTCTGTTTTCCTGTTTAAATAAATCCAAACCACTTCTCCACATCAGCTTTTAAGAAAGTCACTGAAATCTATTATTTGCCTGCTTCAGAGGCACCCTGTTTGCTGTCAGCTACGTGCTAATGCTACACATCTTTTAGAAAAGACACTATTTATCCTGTGAGCTTCATAGAAATAATCAGCTGGTATAATCAGCATATAATAACCTAAAATTTCTCCAGAAAAATAATCCAATAACTTCCCTATTGCCTCCCATAGGAAAACTCCTGTCTATTAGAAAATAAATCATTAACTTTCACCATCTGTAATTTAATACAATCACCGAGGTTCCTTGCTATCATTTCAACTGATACCAGTTTTCAAAAAAGTGCTTACAAGGTTCTCCACAAAACCTTTCATGACTGAGGTCAGAGTAGATTAAATGTTTTGAAACTAAAACCACAGCAGACGAGGTGTTCTCAATTAACCAGTCCCAATATTCACATCCTGAGGCCAATGACAGCTTTTCTACAAATGCACTCAACAGGGCTTGTGATCCTACTGGTGTGTTACTTAATGTACACTGGCTATGAAATCTGCCAGGGGATACATCCTCTGTCTTATGTGCAGAGTTCTAGAGCTGTGCAATCTCTCTGTTAAGCAGTTCATTTGATTATAACAGAAAAAGCTTAATAGAGTTAAGGGCAAAACCATGTCAAAGTCAGCAACCAAGTTCCCTGCAAGCTGGAAGCAATGAAACTCAGACGTAAAGACAGTTTTCTTTTTATCAACTTTACCCAAGGCTAATATCATCAAACAAACAAAAGTCAGATACAATAAATAGCCTCTAGGTCAAAGGGAACCACTACAGCACCAGGAGCTTGAAGAGAGACAGGACAGAAAAGGCACAATCAACAAGACCTTACAAGCTGTCTTGGAATACTTTCAAGTATGTCTGTAATGCAACATTATTAGGTCTAAGTGCAAAGTGAATAAACAGCTTTAACAGATTTCCTCAGAAGCTCCAGCCCCAGCAGATCCATTCAAAGTTGAAATATTTCAGTGTATTCTTTACGCCTTTGGGCAATTCAGCCCGCAAGCCCCATTTTGGATCTTCTGTAATAAAATGAGTAATTTTTAGTAAGGTATCTCTAGCCAAAAATCTAGGAAAAGACAATATTCTGATCAACACGTATTCATCTAAAATCAATAGGTTAGAATTCAACAGGCTTTAGTGCAGGTCTTTTTTTCTAGATAGAAAACTAAAGTGCAGCCCTAACGTCATCATCACGTTTACCATCATCAAGGACACAAAGCACATTCTACAGCTAAGTACCTCTTAAACCAGTAGATTTCTTCCGGGTCTGCAATTCCATATTCTCTTAACTTCATCACCATCAGAGAGCTCTTCCTGATGGCTTGCTCATAGCGTTGGCTACGGGAGAGGAAGTTCAAATCCTCGTGCTGGAAGTCAGGGTCATTAATCACTAAGGCCTCTGGGGACAGACAGAGGAAAACAAAACTCATTGCAGTCCTCGATAAACTGCACATGAAATGGTTCAGCTTTTCACTTGTCGTGCCTCAGGCTGCAGATACCAAAGCACTTAAAACCCTGAATTAAAAGGTAATGAAATTGGAAAGAAGTCACAAAGCTCTCAGAGCATTTTGGGCAGCAGGATGCAGAGTATGGTGCTCCCCATCAGCTGAATTTTAAACTGGGCACATTCTGGACATGACAGGAGATTCATTCAGTGATGTAAGACCAGCAGGCCACCCTCCCATGGCCCAGTCACTGCAGGATCAGATTGCCTCATGCACATCTGATCGCTCTTCGAAGGAAGGCACTGCTCTTGTTCCCCCTGTGCTGACTGAGAACGGAGGTATCCTGAGGCTATAGATTTTTGCCATCCCCTTTGGCACAGAAGTTGTGCAACGGCAGCCTGTAACAGTCACAGAATCACAGAAACACCAAGGTTGGAGAAGACCTCCAGGATCACCCAGTCCAACCACCCACCTGTCACCAATAGCTCTCACCAAACCCTGTCCCTCAACACAACATCCAAACGTTCCTTGAGCACCTCCAGGGTCGGTGACTCCACCACCTCCCTGTGCAGCCCATTCAGTGCCTGACCACCCTTTCACAGAAGCAGTATTTCCTAACATCCAGCCTAAATCTCCCCTGGTGCAGCTTGAAGCCATTCCCTCTAGTTTAGTCCCACCCTGGCAGGGGCAGAGAAGGAAATGGGAGCATTTCAGAGGTGCCATATACCATGATTATGAGGGGAGAGGAGCAGGTTACAGCACGCTGTTGGGTAACAGCTCTAGGGCGACCTCATTGTGGCCTTCCAGTACTTGAAGGGAGCACATAAACAGGAGGGGAATGGCTGTTTACATGGACTGATAGTGACGGGACAAAGGGGAATGGTTTTAAGTTGAGACAGGGAAGGTTGAGGTCAGATATTAGGAGGAAGTTTTTCACACAGAGGGCGGTGAAAGGTTGCCCAAGGAGGTTGAATCCCTGGAGGCATCCAAGGCCAGGCTGGATGTGGCTCTGGGCAGCCTGGTCTGCTAGTTGGCGACCCTGCACATAGCAGGGGGTTGGAACCAGATGATCATTGCGGTCCTTTTCAACCCGGGCCATTCAGCGATTCTATGAACAGCGCAGGACGAGAGCCAACACAGCCGTGGGAAGCCACCTCCCACCCGGTGAGAAGGGGAATTCAACGCGAACCAGGCCCCGTTCCAGGCTCACCCCAGTCCCGTGCAGGGCTCCCCTCGCCGGCCCTGCGAACCCCTCCGGGCAGCCCGAGCCGTTCCCGGGAGCCCCTCTCTCCCCTCCCCCTCCTCACACAGCCGGCCCGGACCCCTTTCCCCGCAGCCAGGCCGCCCTCACCGATCTCCTTTCGGCGCCGGGTTCGCTCGGCGCCTCCATCCAAGATGTGCGTGAGCAGCTCGGGCTGGAAGCTGGCTGCGGCGCGCTCCCTGCGCAGATCCGCGTTCATCATCGCGGCGGCACCGTTCGGCCCCGTCCGTCCCCGACCTCCACCCGGCTCCGCGCGAAGCCCCGCCCCCTGACGTCACCGCCGGCGACGTGGCCACGCCCCCTTCCCCCGGGCGGGGCGGGGCGGGAGCGGCCGCGCGGTAAGTGTGGCTGCGTGGGGCTGCATCGCGTGCTGCGCTGCGTGCGCTGCTCCGCGCTTCGAGTCGTGCGCGCGGCCGGGAGCGCGTTCGGTCGCGCTCTAAGCGCGCGTGCAGCTAGGAGCGCGTTGCACGCCGCTTTCAGTCGTGCGCGCAGCGTGCTGCAGCTGGGAGCGCGTTCGGTTGCATAAAACGCGTGCGGCTGCAGCTGGGTGTGCAGTGCGTGTGTGTTGTGTGCAAACAGCGTGTTGCATCTGGGGCTGGGCATGCATTAAATCGTGCTTTGAATAGGTGTGCTGCGTGCTCTAAGGAGCCGGGCGTGCGTTGCATCGTGCTCTTCATGTGCATGCAGCATGCGTGCCGTTTTGCAGCTGCGTGTGCAATGCGCGTGCATTCAGTGTGCACGCAACGTGGCTGTGCATTAAGTCGATCTGTCAATGTGCATACAGCATGGTGCATCTCGGCTGGGCTTGCATGAAATCACACACACAACATGCTGCAGTCATGGCTGATTCCGCCCCAAATTGCACTAAATGCACACACTGTGCTACATCTGGGATTTGGCATCCTTGTGAATTAAGCATTGAGCCCTTGGTGTTTGAAGCTAAGCTTGCATTAAATGGTGCACTAAATCTGTATATAACAGGCTGGCTGTGCATTAAATAGCACACTGGATGTGCACATAACTGCTGCACCTGATGCATTCAGTAGTGCATTAAATAGCAACACTGAGTGTGCACATAACACGTTCATAATTACTTTGTTGAATAATTGGTTAAATCTCCATGTAGCATATTGTATTTGGGACTGGGCAGGCATTAAATAGTGCGTGAGATAGTGCACCAAGTGTGCATGCAGTATGCTGCACTTGATGTTGTGCATGCATTAAGCAGTGCATTAAATAAATGCATGGCATGCTGAAGGATCCTAGAAAGAAAATAGGAGAGAACACAATGCCAAAAGGAACCACTGCAGGACGCAGCCACCTACCTGGCTGCAGCTTTGGCTGGGCAAAACTAAAGCCGTGCTGAAGTTGCTTTGCATCCCTGTGCCAGCCCACTCTGCGTGCTGTGGAAGATGCTCGGGGCTCAGTGCGAGCTCCTGCAGCCCTCTGCTTGGGGGACCTGGGCACAGGAGGAGTTTTGGGATGCTGTTACCTGGTTCTGGTTCAAGAACTGGGTAACAGGAGCTCAGATCTGCTTTTGCAGAGCCAGCGGTGGTTGAGTGAGATGCTGCCAAGCGCTGGGGTGTACTACTTCCCATGGGAAATCAACAGCTCCATCCCAGAAGGGGAAGCACTGAGGACATTTGGCAGGTGAGGAGGGTATCGTGGGCTCCTTGAAGGCTGGGTTGCTCCCCCGCTGGTCCCCTGTGCCCTGGCTTTGTTTGCAATCTCAGTTTTGCACCTCCCAAATCCATCGCTCCCAGGCTAAGCTGCTATGACCTGGCCCGATCTGAAGCCATTCTCAGCACTCAGCATGGCTCAGCCCAGCACCACGTCCACATCGACACCACGCTGGTGGAACCATTTGAAGCCCAGCTGGGATCTCTCTACATGGTCCTGGGAGAGGCTGAACACAGGGAAGGTAAATGCTGTCTCTGTTTGGCTGGATACACTAGATACTGAGTAAAAGAAGGTTGGCTTTAACCAGAAATGCTGCTGCACAGTCTCCATTCCTGTCCAGTGGGTTCAGGCACTTGATGCTGAGAGTCAAATGAACCTTTGGAGCCTGGAAGCTATTTTGCTACCCCTGCTCCAGCATCCATCTCCATACTATGGCTACAGCTCTTATCAAATGAGCCCCCCCTGCAAAGTGCTGGAAAATGCACAACACTGCTTGAGTACCCTCTGATTGAGGAACCAGTGCCCTTATCTTGATGACAACCCAGTGCTCTGGCACAGATTTCTTCAGAAGCCAGAAATGCCTGAGCAGCACAGCTTATGAAAACAGTGGTCAATTGCCTTTGCTCCGGATGTGACTGACTGCAGCAATACCTCGTTGGGAGTTGGCTGGGTTGGTCTTTGCCATCCTTGAAAGGCTTTAATTACACCCTGCCCTCAGAGATGGGGTGTGAGGAAAATGGACGGGCTTTGTCACGCAGGGCACCCTGTTGTCACTCTTTTGTCATCCTGCTGGCCTTCCCTGGGGTGCCCTGAGCGTTATTCCAGCTGCACAGTGCAGCTTTGCATGGCATTTCAGTTGGGCTGTGGGGCTGTGAAGCAAATCCCAAATGTTGTCCTGGCTGTACCTAATAACAAACACTCACATTTGTGCCCTTTAAACCTTCAGTGACAGGTGGAAAGCCACAATGCATGTGGCATCTGGTGAGTCACCTGCTAAGCCTCTGCTGCAAAGCTCCTTTAGGAAGGCATGTTATTTTGCTTGTCACTGCCTAGGAGCAAGTTGACCCCGTTTTGTAGGCATGGAAGGGCAGGAGGCTGAGAGGCTGTGTGCACAAGGCTGGTTGTGTTCACAAGGCTTGGCCCCTTGTGCAGCACCTGAGTCCACCAATGAACTGCTGGTTACAGGCAGCATTCAGCCTCTTCTATGCCCAGCTTTCTTGTCCCCTCTTCTTGCCTGCAGAGGTTGGCTTAAACCCAACCTTGATGCTTTTCAGATAGGAAAAGCCAAAGCTGCTCAGTGTAGCCATGGGGTGGATGGATGCTGTGTGGTATCCTGGGCTCTGCTTTCACCTGGCAAAAGGAGCTCAGTTGGCATTTGGCAGCTGACAAGGCAGAGGGAAGGAAGCACGTCATGAATTAACCTGCTGCTTGTGGAGGCATGCAGCCAGAGCAGCCTCCTGCAAGGTCTCAGGCTATGGTTATTTGGCCACCTGGATGTGTACATTACCAGAAGGGAGCTTTCGGTGTGCTGCAGAGCTTCTACTTCTCTTTCTCTTCCTACAGAAGCTTCTTCTATATTTCCAGGTGAGAGTCTTGTGATAAAAGCCCGAATATTGACCTGCGTGGAAGGGATGAACATGCCTCTGCTGGAGCAAGCCATCCAGGAGCAGAGGAAGTACTTCCAGGAGAGGCAGCAGCAGATGGAATCTGGCACATCCTGACAGTAGCTCTGCCCCCAGCCCTGTGCTGGTCCCCACCACGGCTGTCTGGCAGCTGCCATCTGTAGCAAACATTTGGAAAGTGTATTTAGAAGGTGGGTTTGAAACATTGCTGCTTTTTGCCATAGCAAAGAGAGAAGTCACTAATAGGGAAGTACATGAAGATTGAACCAGTAGGTAAACGTGGAGCTGCCAGTTTGTGCCAGTTGTCACCATGGAAAATGACTCTGGGAAGCAAATTTGTTGTTTAAGAGAGTGGTTAAGGAAAAAGAGTGCATGAGTTACAGCAGTTCTTTTGTACTGCAGGGTTTGCAGAGGTCAGTAAAAGGCAAAGTCTCCGAATCTGTAGTTAAACATCTGCACACATCCGCATATGCTGCCAACGAGCTGCAAATGAGAGGTAAAGGGCAGTAGTGCAAAGTTTGTTAGCCCTGGTGGCTGTGGGTCCACGGAGTGCACATGTTGGGTTGTGGTGACTCAGCTGCCACACAGAAGCATTCATGGAAAAACACTCAGGTCTGGACTGAACAACAAAGGAACAAGAAGAGCAAGGAGCCTCTACTTCACTAGAACTAGAGGGTTCAGGAGCCTGTATCCAAGGTGCACGGTTGACTTTAGCTCTAAATTAAATATTTGCACTGCCCTAGCAACCGTCACTTGACTTTCTTCCTTGACACATCTAAGTTTAGGAGACCTTAAATCATTATTTTTGGAAGCATCTAAAGGTTGTGATTGATATTTTCCTAAATAAAGACAGAAAGAGAACGTGGTTTGTCTTTTATTGATTAAAAACCTTTCTTGTTAAGGCATTAGGCCCTGCAGAAACACTGTGGATGATGTAAGAAGACACAGCAAACTGCAGTTTTCCTTCTCCTCCTCAGGTCTGGGTGTGCGAGGAAGTGCTTGGCTTTGATAAAGTTACAGGAAGAGGAGATGAAATTACATCAGAGCCATCCTGGCTTAAGAACATGGTGCCAGGCCCAACAGGATTAAACTGTCAATAAAATGACAAAATGGCTAATGTGAGATGAGAGTAAAATTTTAGTGTGAGAGACTTTTTTGTGCAACAGAAATTGAGGGATCTGGGGTGAGATTTGTCTGTGGTTCTCTGTAACTCAGCCACCTGCAGCCTTTTCTGGTTTTTTGCTCAGATTCTCTGCTGAAATGTTTGGAAAACATGGACTGAAGCCATAGAGTGAACAGAAACAGAGCAAAATGGCAACAGATATTGCCAAAGGCTTGATTCACAATCCTGAGGTTGCTCGGTAATTACAGTATTTGTGATAATCTTTGATCATAGTTGAGACTTGTGTTTTGTTCACACAGTTACCAAGCTCTGAAAGCCCTATCTCTGCACACACTAGCTGTTCAGCCCAAGTCCAAAACCATTATCTCAAGAAGCAAGATTTTGTCCTGCTTTTATAAAAGTCAACAGTTAGCATGTCATGACGTGTTTATATTTATATCTCATCTGTTTATTCTCCTGCCTTTCCCCCTGGGCTTAAATTTTATCCAAATAGCCATGTTTACCAGATAATTGCAAGTATCCAAGCTACCACGTTCCTGTAAGTTCTACAGGAAGGGGAAAAAAGAGGGAAAAAAAAAGGTAGAGCAAATTTGGCAATGCTTTCAGATGGAGATCCAAACACAAACTCAACCTTTCCAACCCAGTGGAGAGCTCACACAGGAGTTTGCCTTGGACACAGATCCATAGATATCTGAGCTCTGCCACCTACTTCGATTCTTCTGTACTACCAACATCAGGATACATTTTAAAATAATTGGAGCTGGTGGCTTAGGATGTCCTAAAGCAATCTATTTAGATCACACAGAAGTGCCATGGAACCATGCATTCCATGGGCTGCCATGTCCTGTGCCCACCCCAAGACCCAGGTCTCTGTAGCTCCACCTTTTGTTGTGCCACCACGTGTAATAATCCTTTAATCTGCCAGCAAGCAAGTCAATTATTAATTCCCCCACCAAGGACATCCTCCAAAGGGCTGACCAAGCAGCACAGCCCTTAGTGGGGAGGTTCACGGGACAGTTGCGCAAGACAAATTACACACCACATCCCCTTCACACCAGGCACAAACAGAACCGAACAGCTTCCCTCGGCCCTGCGTAACCTTTCCCACAGTCCCCAAGCAGCTCTTTGGATGTATTCTGCTCCATTTTTGCTTTATCCGATGCAACAGAGCAAGCCCCAGGTTGTCATCGTGGGGCTCTTTGGGGCTACACAGCCACTTCATCATCCAACAGCCCTGACCCACAGCTGGGCCCTGGGTTGGAGCAGCAGTGCAGAGGGAAAGCAGACGCTGCGCTGTGCTCCTGCACCTTTTCTCCTTTTGTTCTTTTTCTCCACAAGGCTGAGGCCATGGAGGCCTTCCAGCAGGTGTTCCAGAAGGTGGAGAAGATCGGGGAGGGCACCTACGGTGTGGTGTACAAGGCTCGCAACAAGCGCACAGGGCAGCTGGTGGCCCTCAAGAAGATCCGCTTGGACGCGTGAGTGCGGCCATGTCCTCCCCCTGGGGACGCCACGGCCTAGCTCAGCCTGGTGTGTGAGAAGGGCCCTGAGCACAGCGTGCAAAATGGCTTCAGAGGCTCTAAAAAGCCTGATACGAGGGGAAAAAAAGTGTGTCTAGTGGCTATTGAGAGTGGTTAGAGCCCAGGCTCAGGGCAGGAAGCCACCATTTTGGGATGCCGACGTTTTGGGATGGCGCCATTTTGGGGTGCCGCCATTTTAGGATGCCACCATTTTGGGGTGCCAACCCTCCCTCAGGAGTGCAGCAATGGGGCCTGATGAGGCCCTGCATCGACTTCAGCCCCTCCAGAATGGGGACTGAATGTGTACAAGGTTAATCTGCTCCTCTGGGCTGTCCAGACTGAGGAGTGTTGGTGCAGATTGATGCCCATAGTGGTGTCACTGCCCCTCCCCCCCCAGCCACTGCTTTTCTCACCCTCCCCATGGCTCTGTGTCCCCACATGTCCAACCCAAGCCTGTGGTACCAAGTGTAAGACCCTCCCCTAGGCCCAGAATGAGGCACAGTGACAGGAAAAAGGGAAGTGGGATAATGCCAGGCTGTATGGTCTGGCTATGGGATGGGGTGCTCTACAGCCCACTTCTGCCATAGGGAGACAGAGGGCGTCCCCAGCACTGCCATCCGAGAAATCTCACTGCTGAAGGAGCTGAAGCATCCCAACATAGTCAGGTAAGAGCCATGTGAACTCTCCCCACCAGCTCCACATCCTGGTCATCACCATAGTCAGCTCCAGATCAATCTTTCACTGCCCGTATAAAAAAAAGCAAAAGCAAATGAAAACAAACAAAATCAGGCTGATACAAGATGCTTTTGGCCCTCCTATACTGCATACCTGACCTTCTGCTCTGCCTCAGAGGGCTTTCAAAGCAGAGACACCTAGGGAGGAGTGAGGGATGCTTGGAAGTTGGCAATGGTCTGAACGTCATCCCAGGTGTTGTAACATCCCTGTGTAGCATGAATTCCCACATAAAAGCATTGAATAGGGTGTTTGCACTTCTCTTGCAGGCTCCTGGATGTTGTGCACAGCCAGAAGAAGTTGTATCTCGTATTTGAGTATCTCGATCAGGACCTGAAGAAATACATAGACTCTTCCCAAACTGGAGAGTTTCCTTTAAGCTTGGTCAAGGTACAGTGCTGGAAGGAGAGCTAATAGGCCTGCAAGAGAGTGAGTCCTTGCTGCCTTCTGCTGGTCAGAGCCAGCACTGTTCTGCTTTTAGCCAGACTGCATTGGAGAGAGATTCATCCTCAGCTGCATTCAGCCTTTCTGACCTAAAACTTCTCAGCTGGGAAAGCTGCCTGGTGCTATTGCTCAGTGCATTCGTTTCCCAGCTGTTTCCAGGCTCTCTAGCCCATCTCATTTCTGAACAAACTGTTGATAGGACAATGGAGGGATCTACTGCTAATTGCTTTTCTAGAGTAGTGGATGGCTGGAAGTGACTGCCCCTGCTTGGACTGGAGTGTCTCTGTCTCCATACAGCAGGAGCAGTTTGTGTGGATCTCTATGTAGTGGCCTGCAAGCCTGGTGTTGCATTATTGCAAAGTCATATTCCTCATTAAGGTCTGCAAGTGAACTAAAGTGTCCTATTTCACGTAATCAAATCTTTGAAGAGGTTTAACTGTTGTGATGTCTAAAATCTCTTCTTTCCTTAGAATTACCTTTTCCAGCTGCTGCAGGGTGTGAGCTTTTGCCACTCCCACAGAGTCATCCACAGGGACTTGAAGCCACAGAACTTGCTCATTAACGAAGCAGGAGCGATCAAACTGGCTGATTTTGGGCTGGCAAGAGCTTTTGGAGTTCCCCTGCGCACATACACTCATGAGGTACTGTTGACACTCCCTGCCATCTGAGAGTGATGTACACAAACTATAGCGGATGCATGACAGCATCACAAGTGAGATATCCATAGCTGACCTGCAGCTAAGGGGTCATCTCGTGTCCCCACAAAGTGTGCTGACCCTTTCTACTCCATCCTGCCTGTAAACTGGTTTCTCACTTTCTCTTCATAGGGCATATTAATTCCAGTACCCTATTAAAAAGTGATCTGTTAATCCCAAACATGCCATAGCACACTCCGATTTGTACAGTTGCTGTTACAACAGAGAAAAAAAGGATTCCATGCCTCTAGTTTCACTCAGGCAAACTAGACAGAACTTGTCATTTGTTCCTTACCAGGTGGTGACTTTGTGGTACCGAGCTCCTGAAATACTCCTGGGATGCAAATACTATTCAACAGCTGTGGACATGTGGAGCATTGGCTGTATCTTTGCCGAAATGGTAGTATGGGTTTTTTATGGTGTCTTTAAATGAGTGGGGAGGGCCCAGCTGCAATGGGAAGTGGAGAAGGAGGGGCAGGATGCAGAGTATCTGTGATACTGATCTGTGGCCCCACCCAGTCCTGGGGTTTGTGGTATGGAAACTCCACCCTGAGGGTTAGCTGATCCTTAGCTGTGCTGTCAGAAAGAGATCTGCTACCAGGAGGGAAGTGCCAGAAGGTAAAGCGGCCTCTGCAGTCTGGCTGCAGTGTCAATACGTGACAGTGTCATACTGTTCAGTCTTACTGCAGCAGCATTTTGATCTTGGGAGGAGCAGACTTGCAGATGTCTCCCAGCAGGTTGCAGAGAACTAGCACTTCAGAACATGTCAGAGCATTGCTCTGTTTGGGTCTCCTAGAGACTACAGTCTAGTTCAAAAACCTCAATATCCCTGCAGCAAGACAGCACTTTCCCTAGCTCCCAAAGCCCCTGAGCTGCTGATGAGCAGAACCTAGGCAAGTAACTGGTCTTTATGAGAGGGTGGTAGGAAACTTGAGACAAAGAGGGTTAAAGGACTGATTGAAAGTGGGACAGCCTCAGGGGAGTACCAAGTCCATGGGAGCAGCTGGGGACAGGCATACACCCTTCAGTTTTCCAGTCGCTGTCTGGCAGAACTGCCTTGGCTTGAGCAGTTTTTTGCATCTGCTGGAACGAAGGTTTGTTTGCAGAGAGAAATAGGACACAGAGCTAATGGAAAGGTGGGTCCTGGCTGCTTTTTTAAAAAAAATATTTATTTATTTATTTTGCTGTAGGTGACCAGGAAGGCCCTGTTTCAAGGGGATTCTGAGATCGATCAGCTCTTCCGGATCTTTCGCACCCTGGGCACTCCCAGCGAAGCAACCTGGCCTGGGGTGTCACAGCTGCCTGACTACAAGGGTGACTTTCCCCAGTGGGCAAGGAAAGAGATGAAGGAAGTTGTTCCCAACTTAGATCGACATGGCAGAGACCTACTGGCGGTGAGCGTGGGTTCTGCACAAGAATATAATTGGGGCTGGACAAGAATATAATTGGGGCTGATCTACCTTGAAATACATTAACTGAATTGGCTGTAATGTTCATGTTTTCCATTGCAGAAACATCAACTCATTGAACAGGTGTATTTGTTTGAGGAGCACTATATTCACATACACAATATTCAGGGCACAAAATTTACAGCATTTTCAAGTACATGCAATTGTGTTTTTATTAAACATACTGATTGAATGCCTAGAAAAAAAAAAAAAAACAAACACTTGCAATCTATGCAACCTTCCTAATGTGTAGAGCTTAATTCTGGCTGTTAGTATAAGTTCCCCTAGGGCACTGCTGAGCACTTCAGCTGGGGGTTACTCCTGAAGACCAGAGAAGTGCATTTGGGCCCAGCC